CCTTTCTGTATTTAGGAAATGAAAAATACTTGAGTAGCAGGTAATTTTAAAGACCTTTGACTTGCAGATCTCTGCTCTGATACCAGTATTGGACACATGCTGTTTGCAGTTGTTTAATGTCTGCCTTAACTTGTCCGTTTGTGAAATGTATTACTGCACACAAGAGTTGGTATGAATTCATTAGTGTTTCTACATTGCTCTTGTGTCATCTAGAGAAACGTGCTCACATACCTGCTAGGTATTAGAAGTGAAATCCTGGTTCTATTTAAGCTAATAGCAAGAATTCTGATCGTCTTCGAAAGAGGTAAGATATCATCCAATTACCATAATTAGATTGTTAAGAATTGTTCAGCTCCAAATTTTGTAATAATTCAAAGGCTGTTACCATCATGAATTTTAAGTTGGATGCAAGTATAGCATGTTGCAAATCTTCTGGTGCTTATGCAGTCACACTGCACTCAGCGCCAGAGACTATTCACATTCTTCTCGTTCAAGGCATTTTGGAGCCTTGATGAGGCAATTAGAAAATCCATATAAATAAGCCTCAAAAAAGTGTAACGGTATCTTTTCTTAATGTTGTCACTCAGGTAGTGCCCAGTTCTTCCATGGCTTTTACCAGCTACTGAGCTCCTGCTATGAGAGTTTTGCTTGAATAGTTAATTCAGAAGTTAAGTGTAAAATGAATAATCCGAAGACCAGCTCTGTGGGATGTTTTGTGATACTAGTGGAAATGTTCTTTCCAGTCAGCATCTCCAAAGACCATAAAACTTGATTTAATTTTTTTTTTCTACTGTACAGTCCCCAACAGACATTGACTGTTAATAGTTTTTACAGCTCTAATTTAATCTGGTAAAGTATTGAACTTGTACGTGAAAGGTAATAAAATCCTTTTAGTAGGAAGATGGAGTTTATGTTCAGAATAACAATCTATCAGTTTTGCAAAGGATTGTTAAATTGCTGCTTTATAACTGTGATCAGATTAAGTCAGCCTAGCTGTGTTTTGAGCCTTGCTTTTCGAGAAAGTAAGTTAAAATAAGAAAACTATGGTCTTTAGTTATTACGGAAGAAATCTGCTTCAATTGGCATGGGGATGCTTTAATTTGTGTCAGGTATCTGGATGTCTGCTCTGTGTGTATTACTGGCTTGGATGTGTTGCTAAGTAATATTTTCAAATACTGTGACCTTCTCTCTTCATGAATTCTAATGCATGCCACATTTGCAACTGTTTTTTATGTCCCCTTGCCCTGTTTGATGTCATGTCTTTAGAATCTTATTTGATTGTGTGACGTCGGGTATACAAGAACATCTCATGCTGAAAATCCTAGACCTCAGGTGCAAGTTGAGAAGTTGCGTCCATGTGTTTATCCCAGAAGACCTGGTTGCTATTTTCTGCAGTGAATAAGTTCCTGGAGAACCTTATTTTCCACTGTAACTTTTCAGGCTGCTGTCGTCTTGGGCTGCAGCCATCTTTCCTAGTCTGCTGCCTCAGAAACATTAAAGGATGCAATAGGGTACACTGACCTCGCTGAGCATCATGAGGTTGATGATAGCAGAAGAACCTGACCTGGCTCAGTACAGTGTTTACCTGAGACTGACTAGGAAGGATTTAGAGTATGAGCAGTTAGCAGGGTGCATTCAAAGCTATTGGGTAGCCATCAGATGATCAGCTTTTGAGAGGGCTAGCAATAGGAGACTAAATGTGTCCAGTTCCTAGGGCCAAGTGATGGCTCTGTCTTTTGAACATCTCAGGGTTGCCTCAGCATTCACTGGCATGAGTTTCAGATGTCTTGTGCATCCGTATCAGACAAGGATGTTGGGCCAGAGGTTGTAGGAGTGGGCTTCATTGCTGATGTGGTTTTGAGTTGTAGCTTATCCGTCTATAGCCCTTAACTTGAAAACTTTTTTGGACAGGTGCTTTGTTTGTAATGTATCTGTACATGCATAGTACATTAACATCAGTTTTCTTGTTTACAAATATATCTGTTACCTCATTAGTCCTGAACAGCACAACTTGAAGCTGTCTTCATCATCTCAAAAACATCTTGCTACTAAGCTGATAAGCCATCCTTCCCTTTTTGCTACATGAATGTTAAAATGTTGTAAACAAGCTTCCAAAGGATCAACAGCAATTTTTCATGCAGGATATATTAATTTGTCTTGTAATATTCCTTTTATGTCAACTGCAATAATTCCCTGTGCTTAAGCGTAAGTATCTTTTTATGTGTGTTTGCCTGAATTGACAGCAAGTTGCCAGAGATGATATCAGATAGAACACATGAGGACAAGTAAAACCATTATGTTATGACTGCAGGTATTAAAAAAAAAATAGGGAAAAGTACAATTAGAAGCTGAGTACTATTGCTAGGTCTTTCCCACAGTTTGTGAATGTTTAGGGAAAATGTGGAAAATAAAAGTTTTGCATTTAGACCAGCATGTTCTGAAACACCACAGAGCAATATCAGCTAGTAGAGTTTCTGTCCTATAATGCGAACGCTGGAGTATTTGGTGCAAAATACTGAATGCTGTTCCCTCTGCAGCCACAAGGTTCTGCATGGTGATGATGAATGAGCTGAGGACTCAGGAAGTGCCAAGTGCCTGGGTCTGTGGCTGTATATCTAGTTACAATGGGATTATTTTAACTGCATCTTTTCAGTGTTGGCATTGCACTGTGCAGCCAGAGCCCGATATAAAACCTGTGGCAGAAGACACATTGGTGAACATCTTTCTGAAAAATGAATAGACCTTTCAGAGTCCTCAGCAGTAGAACGTGACACTGGCGTCATGGCTGTGAAGGGGCCTTTCATCTCAGCTTATATCCCTTGATATCGAAATAGCAGCAGAAGTTTGTTTGAAGCTACAGTGCTTTTTCTAGCTATTCACCCGGGAAGATCCCAAGAGCCTTATTAGAGCTGCAAGCTAATAGGAGAAAATAAGTGCAAGGAAATTATAGCTGGAACCCTAGAGTCTTACAGGTCTACACAGTGATCTCAGATAGAGCGCGCCACATAGATTCCCTCCCACTGGAGGGAAATACAAATGAACACGTAGCTTCTAATTTTGCCAAGAAAGTCCATTGGTGTGTAACAGAATATTCTTCTGTCCCTCGGCATGGATGGGGCATCGATGTCTATGTGACCTTTTAACTCTTTTTAAGTAGTGGTTTCTAATCTGATCCTGGAAATGGTGCTCATATTGATCCTGTGGGAGGCTGTCACATGAAACAGAGGCAAGCAGTAATGGAGAGATTGTGCCTTTGAGGGAAGGGAGAAGTATAAGGATTTGTGTTCAAACATCATTTCTCACTTCAGACATGTTAATTACTCCTGTGGTGGGTTTGATGCCATCGATTCCAGTAGCATAAGTACTGTCAACTTTAATGAAAGAGGATTTGTGCCTCTGTCAGCGGGTTGTTGTCTTCTTGTGTGTGTGTGTATGTTGTAGTTGACTGACAGACAGGTTGTGTATGCTTTGGAGACAGAAAATTCATGAAATTGGGTTTGTCTGAATTGGTGTTTCGAGTCTATTGTTTATGTGGAAAAGAGTGTGAGTGTTGTTAATGTACACTATAGGTGTTAGGCCTGGTTACTATAAGAACTCGCCTGTCTGCTCTGTGATGAGCAGATCTGACTCGTAGTGCATGAACAGGAATCTTCAAATTCTACTGTGTAACAAAGCCTCTGTGCTTTCTGTGTGGTTTCATAGCAAATACCCCTCATTTCAACTTTGGAAACGGTTCCAGTAATACCAGAGCCAGATGTGGCTCTGATAGTTCTTTCGTTAGCACTTAAGGACTAGATGAGCAGTAAGAGCAAAAAGAGAACCCTGCAGCAGACAAAGAAGTCACACACTAGATGGTTGAGCTTTCAAAAGCAAGAACAAAGTTATTTTTATTTTCTCCTTTTTAAAATACTTTTTTATAAAATACATAAAAAAAATTTAAAAGATAATCAGTCATAGCTTTAGTATTTGCCTAGGTAGGTGATTTCGCCGAAAGTATGCACTAGGAGGACATTTCTGACAAGACTGTACCAGTGGTGAGGCCAACACAATGTAATAGTCGTGTCCTTCAGAGTGATTTTCTAGGCATCGCTTCACAGCAGCGTGGTGTGGGGCTGTTCCTGCTAGCACCCCGGGAGAGTGTGCTGGGGTAGACTCCACCATGGCAAAACTGTATTCTTTTTAGCAATATAATTTAGTAGGTAGAACTGGCCATGTGATAAGTAATAAACCACAATTGCAAAATGTTAGCCCTGTAAATAGAGGGTAGAAATAGAAAAGCCGAAACAAAGGAGGTTAGTGACTATCTCTCAAATTTGCTGTAGTAGCTAGCCTTGTCTACTGCTAGACAACACTGATGTTTCAAACCTGGCCTCAGGTCAGGGTGTAAGAGGGACTATCCTTGGAAGCTCTTTTTGTTTGGAACCGCTGCAAGAAAAGAAGGAACAGAGCTGCTTTTGTTTGTTTGTTTGTTGTTTTTAAAATCTGACTCCCTGTTGCAAGGCAGTAAGATGAGCAAATGGCTCTTGCACCTGGCAAGTTACCATCAGCAATTACTGCAATGCTTAGTGTCTTTCTGCCACCAGCGGAAATCTCTTTGCTCCCTTTCATGTCACAGATTTCAGTGTTCTTGTGGGGATGGTACAATTAAAGCCACAAGATTTAGTGCTCTAATTCCCTTTTGTTTGCAACAAAAGGGAGAGACAAGGAAGGATGACACATGTGGCTGGGGTTTTGTTTTTATTTTACTGACCAGCAAAAATACTGTGTGTGTTTAACTGTTACAATAACAGACTTTGTTTAAACTCATCAAACCATTCCATTAGTAACTGGATTAAAGGCTATTATTTTACATAAAGGAATTTTGTTATTAAAAAAAATGCTGTGACTACATTTCACTCCTCTCTATTTACAATCCTCAACATCTGAGCAGGCTGTACCTTATGTATTTCTGCATGTTTCTTTCAGTACAAATGTTTTCTAGCTTTAGATACGTCGTTAACATGATGCGGATGTCAACAACGCTGTTTTTGACAAGTATGTCAAAAATGCTGCTTATGATAAATGTGTGTATGGGAGGGAAACATGGTAGCTGACATGAATCCAGGTTTCATTTTTAGCCCTTCCATTATTACCTAGTGTGTGACCTGAGATGAATTGCCAAATCAGACTTTTTCAGAGGGGATGTATGTGAGCACGGGTGCAATTCCCCTGTTCTGAACTGACAGCTGGCAGTGAGATACTCAAATCTGAGCTCTTGCCCCTCAGTTCAGTGGAGAGAAATGGGAACCACCAAAGGACAATTCACCAGATTCATTTTAGGATGAGGTGAACTACCACAGGAGCTCAGAGTGGCTGGTTTGCACCTTGTGGTCTCAAGCTTAGACACGGAGGTGAAGGTGAGCAGGAACCATTCCTGGCCCCTCCACAGGATTTCTTACACACCCTGGATCTCAGCTGAGCCGTGCTCAGTGATGTGGAAGATCATTCCTCTGAAGAGTCACCCTTGTTATTTTCAAAAACAAGCTGCCGCTCCTGCTAAAATTCATGGACACATAAAAAGAAGTTTAAATTACAGCCCTGTTGAGCCTTAGTTTCTTTCTCTATGGAGTTACAATTGTTCATCAGAACTGCATGTTTTAAGCATTAATGGACAGGCTTTATTAATGAATGCTCCAGGAAATGAAATCTCATCTGGATTATTTGACCAATCTGGCTAGAACCTGTGGAATATCACAGTTTTTCTTGCTTCAGGGGTTTGTCCCTTTCGTTTACCTAACTGCACCTTTCCTTTACCAACTGCACACCCCGGTGTGCTTGCTCTGTGGACAAATTGGTAAATTGGTCAGCTGCCAAAAGGGAGTAATTTGACTTAGCTGAAATGAGCAACAGTGTGATGAAAATACATTACCTCTGTCCCACTGGATAAGCCTCAGATTGTATTGAAATAGAATTAGGCCAAGGGAGTCAATGTACTGGATAATAATGAAGTGTTTAATGTGGATTAGCTGAATATAAAATTAATACATTAGAATGAATTGCTGAAGAAATAAAATTATGTTGGGCCTTTATCCTGACTCCAATGACTTAAAAGTGCTGCATTCTTCTGTTTATAGAAGAGCAAAAGTAATGCTATTCAATTTGTGTTCTTTATTTGAGTGAGAGAAATAGATATAAAATATTATTTAAAAAATTTATATATATATATATATATATGAGCTGTCAAATCAGGAACTCACTGAGCCAAGGCCATAATGTTTGGGTCTGGACCACACCTGAGAGGTTACAGAGACAGGGATTAAGTCCAGGAAGAATAGGTACATGAGAGCAAGAATCTAAACTTAAAGTTCCCTGATCACCTGCCTGGGCTTAACTTCGGAAGTTTCTTGGTTGATAGCATTTTATTGTTTCTGTTTGGTATTTTTCCCTGCTCTTAATATTTATGGCTTTTTCCACTTTATGTCTTTTCTTCTGGGAGATAAATCTAAATGTAATCTTTGGTTTGGACCATCCAAAGGTGAATTAAAATGTTGCCTGCTTGGGAAGATCTGAATGCATTTAATACAAAATGGGAAAACTTTCCAAACTAGTTAGCACAGATAAGCTTTGACTGGGAGGTATGGAAGGGCTGCAGAGTGAGCTCCGGCATAAAAATCACAAGTATTCATCTGCACTCTGTGAGGCTTTTGCGTTTTATTTTTGTTCTTAAAGCTTTCCCGTTGCCTCATCTGTTCTAGGTTCGTTTCTGTTTCTCAATGCGTCAGAGAGGCCAAGCCCCATCATCCTGAGCCCTTGGCTGAGAAGCAGCAGTGACCAATGCATAGTTCAAGTGGCTGTTTATAAGTTTTACCAGCAGAGCGGAGAATATATTGCTCGTGTCCTTCCCATTGACGAAAGCAGCAGTGAAGTCTTATCAGTGGAGAGTCCAGAGAAACAGGGGTAAGTCTCATCCTCTCATTTGGCTCGCAGCTTGAGTTGGGAAGAATCACATGATTGTATAGCGATACAGCCTCAAAAATGCATGCTGCACATCTACGAAGGGGAGCAGGACACCACGCCAAGTAGACATTTGTCTTGCATGGGTCTGAATTGTTGTAGAAGCTTATTTTATTATACAAAGCATCAGCAAACTACTGAATCCATGTAACAGTGAGTCTCCTAAGTCGAAATGATCTTTATTCTCAGTGCTTGCCGAGTACAGACATGGTGTGGGTACTCATCCTAAGTTTAAAGCTTTTCTGTCTAATTCACTCTATCTGATTTCTTCTTACTACTTCTTTACCCAAGAATATCTACTGAGTCTTTACAGTTTCATGTGTCTGCATACATTTTAAGTTTTTGTCTTGCATTTGTGTTGTGTCACACATTTGTGTTAAGTCTTGTCAGTAAAGCAGCTCAGAGCTACTGCCAGAGGAGGAAAGCTTTTGGTCTTTCAAGGGTGCAACTGTTTGAAATGTTTTATCCTCTGTGCAATTAATCTTAATTGTTGATGATGTCTTAATTTGTCAGACTTTCTGTGCATTCTTTTAAATTTTGGTTAGCAGCAAAACAGCAGGAGCTGAACACCTAAGTATTTCAAAGTGCTATAGTAGTGGAGTAACTTAGAATTGAATTTGGATATATGTGAGGCTAATGTTTTACCTGTTGTATATACTGATTTTTTAATTTTTTTTTTTTTTACTTCTGCTGTGAAATGTGTGTTGAGAGGTATAATTTTTACTAAGCATCTCAAATGTTCTTTGTTTTGATGTAACAGAGAGTTTCTAATAGCAAGTCCTGCTGGCTTTGCTTGTAACAAAATGTGATTATCTGATTACTGTCTACAGCAAATTCTGTATTTTCCAGTAGCAAAAGGAGAATGTGCAATAAAAAACATAATGGGAGATAACCTAACTCATAGAAACAGTTTGAATAGTTGTAATTCTCATATAACACATGGCCTATAAAAGTGAGAAGGAGAGCTTGTGTGTGGATCTAGATCATACTTAGTTCCAGCAACATCATCCAAATTGTAAATTACTGTTGATGTCTGGGGAAAGGTAATTAGGGGAGCTGCAGCAGCTGTCTTCTTCCTTAGCTCTTTGCAAATGCTGTGCTTTGTGCCAAGTGCCTCCTGCATTGGCAATGCCACTATTCCTTGGCACTTGCAGGCAATACTGCTGTGTGTAAAATGCTTTGCTGTGCTGCATGGAGGAGCTCTAACTTGAATCTGTGGGCAGGCAGAACTCACCAGAAGGGCAGGCAAGTGCCAAGTGTAAGGAGCCTTGAAGGGAAGGGAAAGATCACTTTAACTATGATAACAAATTCCTGCCTTTGCCATCTGCTGGAGACAATATGGACTACTCAGCTGTGCATTCCAGGTGGCAGATGGAGATTGTCACCACAGTAAAGCAAGTCTGTGCTTTTAAAGAAGGTGGTTTTGGTTATAGCTTGGCTATCCCATACGTTTGCAAGAAGTGTGGCTTGCTCCCCAACAGCATTTCTGTGGCACACAGGGTAGTAAGGACGTGATTGTGGCTTCCATGGTTTTGTATGGCTGACTCTTTGGTACTCTGTGTGCTACAAAACTTTGCAGTTGGAGCCACTGATTGGTTCATTTCCCCCCTCTAGTTTTGTCTCTTCTCTGTGAGAGGTAGTAGCTCTGCCCTCAGCTCGGCAGTGCGGAAGGGCTCTGATATTGTGCGTGCAGAAATGTCATGTAAGGATAGTTAAGTATCTACCCATTATTGTGTTACAATTTGCCCTGAACCTTCATTCCAGGATTTATGAGTGCTCCTCTGCCCTTTGTTTGGAGCAGTAATATTTGATTATTCCAGCTCTGACAACAAAACATGCAAATCTCACTTCTGTAAAAACCTTTTCTTTAAATATGAAATAAGAATAGCTGATCTGAAGTCAAGAATAATTAATAAAGTTCTTAAATGATCTAGCAATCCTACAATGGAAATCTGTTCTGTTTAATATTTTATTTTGTCTTGGAAATTGCAAAGAATTGTATTGTTTGGTAATGAATTTTTGATTTCTAAAATTTTATAAGGATTCTAGCTCTGGGCACAAGGTAATTGAATTCCTCAGTGGTGAGCCTGTGCTAGAAATAAAAACACTTTAAAGTTTCACAGGTGACACTTCTTTGCTTCTATGCGCTTTATATATTGTTTTGCAAACAAGAGGTGTAAAGTGTGCGTAAGTTCCCAGTGACTTGTAGTGAGTCCGTGCCATTGCTTAAAATCAAGCTCACAGCATTAAGAGTACGTTTTATTGAAACAAATGCACCTGAAGGGTGGTGAAGCAATAAATGAATTCCAGGGTGAATCTTCTCATATCTTGAACTGTGCACGGTGTCAGTATCTTTTTACCTTTCTCTTTTTTTTTTTTCTTTTTAAGCCGCATAACCTGAATTACATATATTAATATCTTACGAGGTCTTCACAGTTCACCTACATTTACAAGAAAAGAAAGGGAGATGCTGTCAGGTATTGCTGTTTCATTCAGGGTGAAACCAGGCAAGCAAAGGTTTTGGTTGACAGCACTTGGAGATGATTTTAAGTAGAATATATGTAAAGCTATGAAATTTTATTGTAAGGTAGAGACGGCATAGCACCCAATATTTATTTGTTGCCAGGGTTCAACCGTGTTGTCTTTCTGTGCAAAATACCAGGTGTGATTTCAAAGGGTTCTTGGCATGCATAAAGACTCAAAGGCAGAACTGGTGATGTTCTGTTTGCTCCTCTGGTCTCGTTCTGTCTAGAAAAAAAATAGCCTAAGCCTGTGGACTAGAGTTGTACCAATTCCATAATGAGGCATAGTTATTACAGAAATTGTTGTGTGGAAGATGCATATTTGTTTTATTTTCTTACTTAACATATTTCACTGCAGCTGATCTATTGCAAGAAAGCTAGCTAATGTAAGATGCCTTATGTAGCAATACGATAGGGCAGATGGAACAGACACCGAGAAGAGTATGCCAGAAGTGATAGCTGTGCATGATTCCTGAGTGACGAAACACCAGAGGCTGGCAAAGGCATGCTTGTTTTGTATTCTAGAGAAACTTTGCCAAATACAATAATAACTTTTCTACATAATATTTGCAACTATGCTTACCACTCAGAAGATAATTATGTCCTTGTTTATCAGTTCAACAGAATTGTATACCTTTTTTTTTTTTTTTTTTTTGAAGAGCAGAGAGGTCTTACTCTGTATTTAATCTATGGGTTTTGGAACATCTTTGATCAGACCTTCTCTAATTTAGTTCCTGCACAATCAGTAGTACTCCTCTGTGGGGAACAACACATTACCGTATTCCGTTAAAATTAGATTTGTTGCATGATAGTTTCTAGATGATCTGACTTTGTGGATGTGTTTTTGATGTGGGTAGTCTCTTCTGGCATCTCTTGGAATTCTGTTGTGTTTTACAAGCACCTGCAAATGATACGGGGAGAGAATCAGTGCGGTGCTATCGATCCTTTGTCATGGCAAAAGAGTTGTTATAATTCCTGCCATGGAACACAGCACTTTCTACTTTATCCCAAATGCCACTAGATGTGGGTACTATCTTTTACTGTTTTACTGCTCCCATGGTGCTGTATACAATCCTTTCTTGTTGCTATTTAATGGACTTCCTTTTTTGTGTTATTAAAGGTTAGGAGGCAGCAAGCATGTTTACATAGCATATTGGTTATTTAGCAAAGCAGAGTTACTTCCACGATTTGAATGTTGACTTCTGAGTGCTTGTCAGACTGTCACTGTGGCCACTGATTTCATTTCCCCTCTTATCTGCTTTCCCATCTGTTAAATTTATAATTACAAACCTAGTACAATTGTAAATGTGCTTAGTAGAGTGAGGAAAACACAAAGGAAAACTTGTCAACAAGGTCAGAATTTGTAATACGAGATTGTTTTTTATTTCTTTTGATCTGTGTGTTTCGGAGAAGTTAGAGTTGAGTAAAGACAAAAATAACGTTGTTCGTTATAATTACCATTATTATTTTACATCTCTGCCTGCACTATTAATCGTAAGTTGCGGTATTATATGCTATATATCAAACCAAGCTTTTTAATAAGCCAGTAGCAAATGACAGCATAACTTCAATTTGGTCTTCCATTGCAGACCTTCCTCATCACTAATTCTATAATCATGTTCTTGCCCCAAAAAATAATGTAGCAAGTGGATCTTAATACAGTTCACATGAGTGAAGGTAATTGAGGCCTCTGTCAAGAGGGGAGGTGGGGAAGTTCCTCAGATCAGCTGCTTCGTCAGGAATACCAGGATGCCAGCCTTGCTCACGTGGGGGTTCAAAAGATAAGATTTGAGCTACTGGATTGAGTGCACTTCTGACATCTATCTCACACCTCCTGCATGAGCTGGGCACACCTCCTGTTCTGTCATGTTACTGCTTTTCCTCTATAGAAAAGAGCAGGGTAGTTTCTCTTAGATATTTTTCTGTGTGTTTTTAGATTGTAATTGCTTTATGTTAGTGAGACTTTGTCTCTTTTTACAAATCCTCACAACACTTTGGAGGCAAAGAGAGGTTGAGGCTGTGTCACTGACAGGTCAGCGTGATCTGTTCTATCACCCCACGCTTAGGGGATGTGGGCTGTGGAATCCCTGCATAGAATTGGTGGTACTGAACTATACATCTTTTGACTTAAGCATACCTATACAGACGCCATAAAATGACTTTGCAAGCCGTATGTGGTTTTTGAGATGTGAGTAGGATCTCTAGACTAGTCTAGAGCCTTAAATAAACCTGAGATTCATCTGAAGACTTTTGTGTAAATGTGTGAAGTAAAAGGTGTGTCTCAAATAAAACCTGAGATCTGAATACGCATGCATGAGCACGGAAGCCATAAACTACTACTACACTATATAGCCAGTACTTCAGTAGGTACATGTATATTTCTGCACAGAGCACTTCCAATAGAGAAAGAGCACCTGTTTT